TCTCACGCTGGATTTCTGTGGTTGACGGTAGGCTGGTGTCACTACTCCATTCAGCCCCGCTGGATTCGTCCAGCAGTTTTGCCGAAAGAGACCAGCTGAACTGTTCTTTGAAGTGTTCAGCCCGTCGCTTTAGGCGATGACATTCTGAGTGGGTTGCGGCTCCGCCTTTCTCGCATACTGTTTCTTTGACACTTGCCTTCTTTTGGCCGATTGATCAAATCGGACGAAATAGCGCGTGGCTATTGCCTGCAGCGAAAACCTCTTCCAATGCTCGAACCTTCGCAATCCACTAGTGCGGGATGGAAACCATCGTGGTCGGGTTGGTTGTTGAGTTGGATGCATGTTGTTTCTTTTTTTGATGGAAAGTCAGTTTCAATGTTTCACTAAGGCCTCAGAGGTAATTGTGGACGAGACCAGCTTAACTCCTGTTCAAAATGTTCAGCTTATCGTTCAAGATGACGATATTGCTAATGAATTGGCGTTTCTCACTGACACAAGTCTTCTTTAGTGATTTGGTCGAACCAGTTGAAATAGAGCTAGTCTGTTGGGTGGGGCGAAATTTTCATCTTTCGCCTCAACCTTATCGATCCACCAGTACCTTCTGTCACACTCTAAACTCTCGATCAAACGGCGATTGAAGGATCTGCGTCAGCCACCATAGTCGCTCGTTGCTGGTATAGCTTTTTTGGCAGCAATCCTATCTGTAGATGTCGGCGATACCCACTGTTCACTTAGTCGAGTCGGTGATTGGGACAGACAGCTTCAACGGCCGAGAATATAACTTCTTCCAGTCTGTTTCATTCAACCTCAACCAAGTTTTTGTCATCTGCGTGACTTTGACTTTCCACTAGTTTCCTGGCCAGGTACTGTCAAACTTTTTCATCTCATCGATGTTGACGAACGGAATTGCTCTACTTCGGCAAATGTAATGCTAATTGGATTAGAAATTACACATGGTCCGAATCAAGGTGCGCACCCCAGATGGAACAGCAATCTTTGTTTGAGTCTCGTCGTCAGTAGCTGATTGCCACTTTGTCCACTTGAGTCCATGACCCTTGTGGTTGCTGACCCCCAAGTAACCGGATGTGAATGTTTTTGCTAGAATCTCTTACTGACCAGGAAAAAGATGATGAGTACATTGTTGAAGTAGTTGACTCCTAGTGTCCGCATACTGAGCATGGACTTAGATCTGCTACTTAAATGTACCTCATTCGTGCTTAGTCGTCGAACTTGTACATTCGTATCACTAGCCTGGATGACTAGATCCTCCCCTTTACTGATCGACGCAATCTTGACATGTATCGATAGAATCCGTTCTTCTCAGTCTTAGAACTGCAATCTGTCGTGGCGTTTGCTGACACGTTAGATAAACACCGTTTATTGCATCAACTGGCATTGATCTTGCTTGAGCCAATCAACCGTGTAGCGCAAAGATGGCTGTTTAGTGGGATTCCGCCCAGTAAAGTGCATGCACTTATGCGGCTGAGTAAAACTCCCACACCACCAATAGCACGTGGCATTACATTAGGATCATCTGAGGTACAAGATCTAAATGGTGCATGTTTCGTAGCTACAATGTATATCGACACAGAGAGAAAACTAGGTTCGCGCAGGATGTCTCGAAGAGACTGGACTAAGAGACTGAAACTTACAGTGGTGGGACGATTTCCGCACCTCAGCGATCCATTGAGTTATACTCGCGGGCGTCCACACGACACTCACAGAGTCTCTCATACCAGGTTGCTCCATGTAGAGAAGTCTGACGAACACAGTCTCCTGGCCCTATTGTTTTGGGGTTGGAACATGTGTGGCGACATGTTCCGTAAAAATGTTAATGTAGTTGCATTTTCAACCCAACACCGCTGCCTTGTGGTTTGGCTTTTGAGCCAAAGGCTATGGTTGAGGACCCTAATCGTCCTCCTGTCTAGGTGCGGGCTCCCTAGCAGTATCCCAGCCCTCGTACAACCATGATATTTACAGATGTCACATCGATCGTCACGTGGTGCCATCAGCCGGGTCGCCTTACTTGTCGCATGCAGCAGGGTGGGCAAGTGAAATCATGCTACTGCTGACGCCTCCCTTCTTACACTTTCACGTTTTCCTCTTCCACCTTCCCCCACTCAAAGTTGAGTACTTTCTGCGCAGGCCCCAGCTCTAAGGCTGACCGTTTTGCTCGCCCTGCATCACACTCAGCTGCAGTTTCTGTATGTTCGAGTTTAGTCACAACCCTAAACACTGAAGTCTGTTTTAAAACCCCAAAAGCTTTTCTACTTAGGCACCTTCAATGTGCGTACACTGAAGCAAGCAGGTCAGTGGGTGGCTCTTGCTCATATGCTGGACTCCCTCTGCACTGATGTATATTGTCTGTCGGGAACAAGGACGCATGATGCAAGTACTGTGATCGAACTGACTGCACACACGCTCTCTTCTAGGTTCCGGCTGCGCACATCTGGTGATGCCGGTGCCGCTGCAGCTGGAAATGCTTGGCTGGGTGTTGTTTTGAGCGAAGGAGCGGAAGTGTCTCTGCTTGATTGGATACCCGTTGATAATCGCCTCTGTGCGGTTCGTTTGGCAACATCTGTGAGAGAATCTAGGGGAAGTGATGTTCATCGCACCTTTTTTTATAAAGGAAACTACTCACAAGGTTGCTGGAAACTCTTAGACAGCCCACGACCAATTTCGCCCTTCTTGAGGCTCATCCGGTAGGCACAGTCCCCGAGTTTCCAGCCAACCTCATCCAAGCGTTGAATTTCTAATAAGACCGTGTCTTTGCTGGAGACTCAGCGACAAATTCCCCCTGGCTACCATCACAACTCCACTAGGCGCATCATCCAACCCCAGGTGGAACTAAGTGTCCGCGCAGACCGATAGGCTTCGTGGACCCGAAAAGCCGAAGAGATGAAGATGAAAGAATGCTGAAAGCATCCGCAAGCCGTTCCACTTGATTTGTTCGACTGGACCTCGGAAACCTTGTCAAAGAAATGGCTCCCTGATATGCAGCAAAGTAGAACGTTTGGATCGCTGGGGACAGTAATTCGAACAGCAATTCAGCTGGTCATCTGCTTCATCCAATCGAGAATCCTGACCTCCAACAGAAACATGAACCGTAAATGTGGAGCCGCCTTCAGTCTCAGAAGTGTCCGAATGCATTTCTCTACTCAAGTGCCATCATGCTGCTGGTCCCGACGACCTTCCACCTGCTTTTTTCAAGAATCTCGGTGGACTTCTCAGCCAGTGGCTATCTAGCCGTTCTGGGTCTATCTTCGAGAAGGAAACCGTTCCAAACAACTGGGGCGAATCGATAATGATGTCCATTTTCAAAAAAGGTGGGCTCTTCAAATGTTTCCTTGCAAAAAGTGGTGTCGGACAATGATGTCTCCATTCTTGTTCAACTCCGCCCTAGATGAAATAATGAGACGAACACTGGACGGTCTTCAAAACTCGGGGGTTCAAATTTTTGCTGGTGAGAGCCTTGTCGATTTGGAGTACGCAGATGACGTTGCCCTCATCTTTGAAGATCGAAGTGAAGCACAAGCCCTGTTGAATAAACTGACCACCATCATACCATCTTTCGGCCTGTGCCTTGCACTTTCAAAGTGCAAAATCATGCTTCAGAACGTGCCATCTGCGAACATATCCCTTACAACTCAAGGAGAATCACTAGAGATTGTGGAAAACTTTACATACCTCGGTAGTTGTATTAGGTCTGATGGAAGTGTGTCTGTTAGGTCAGTGCAAGAATCTCAAAGGCTCGAACCACGTTTGCCTTTTTGCGTCACTTGTGGCGTAAAAAAGGCATCTCACTGGATCTTAAGGGTCATGTGTACCAGGCTACAGTAAGGGCTGTGTTGTTGTATGGGTGCCAGACGTGACCTCTGCGGAAAGATGATGTGAGGCGTTTCAGGATTTGACCACCGATGCTTCAGGAGCGTGACTGGTTTTGGATGGCTGTTAGTAACTAGGTGATTGGAAAACGGGTATTTGGTTGTTCTACAGGCGACTTAATCCGAGAAAACATCCAGCACCATTGACTACGATAGCTCGGTCATGTGCTACGCATGCTGAAACGCCGTCTACCGAGACGAGTGTTCTTCGGGCCTCCTTCAGGATGGCACAAACCGCGAGATGGGCAGCACATGACTTGGCAGAAAGGTATGAAAGAGATCACGAAGAGTCTGGATGTTGTTGTACACCTTCCAGGATGGGGTCCCTGTGGCCCCGTCGGGGCTTGACTGGAGACGTTGAAAGAAATGGAGGCTAATCGATGTCATTGGCGTTCGTGCTGTCAACCTCCTTCCAGATAATCTGATTTAGCGTTTCTGAGGTGTAGGCACCCCAGAATGCTTGACATAGTTCAGCACGTGGTCTTTTTCCTCACCCACTCTTTTTACTGTCTTTGATGATGATGATATGCATGTTGCCCATTCGGCATTGAGCACGAACATTGAAGACTGCAATGTAGATCAGATCTTTTGAGGTTAGTATGTGATTTTTTCCGGGCGATAAAACAATGGCTAGTGAGCTGGCAGATAAGTGAACAACACTGCATCATTCAGTGGGTATGGAGGGGCGGTGAGGGAGGGCCGGTTAGCGAAGAGATTCAGGGGAAAATGATATTTCCCGGTGGCCCAAACCAAGGAAGGAGATTTGATCGAGGTATCCCACCCTCATCCTTTAACTCAAACATCTGACTAAAAAGGCAGTAAAAAGACGTAGGATTTTCTTCTGGTCCCTTCCCCTAGCCTCTTGCTAAAATTCTGAACTGCGGGGTGGTAGTTGTTAGGATCTTATTGAGAGACCCTTTCTGGACCTAATGTCTTACTAGTTTGACCCACTTGGCGGCAGGAATTAAAGCATAACTGTCTGACTCTTACTGCAGCTGCGCATAGCATGTGTCTGCTAAGCTGCACCGGACTGATTTTAAAATGATTTCTACCGTAGTGAATATTGCGCCGATAGTCACGGTCAAGCGTTAGGTGACCGGAGTGTGCGGTTTTCAGGGTCAACCTTTTTCTGCCGTCCCCTTTTGGAGGAAGGCAGCACCACTGCCTAAATTAACACGGATATGCTGGTCAGCTGAAGGAAGCACTCAACCGCCTTCAAACTGTCTCAAAGGACAATACAACTGTACCTCCAAACCGCCTGTTTGTACGATCTCGCACACTATGATGGTTCACTGCTCTTCGTCGGACCGCTCTCAGTTGGCCTTACTCACATGGCTGGACCTTCGGAAAATAATTGAACTCAACGTTGTTCAGCGGTTTTCGCACGAACTTGATGACCGAAAGGTCCACCGTTCGGAAAAAAATTCTTCATCTTGACTGCTCCTCTCTGGACTTGGACAACTTGGCAGTATCACAGCCTTCGTGCTTTCTCCGGGTGATCTGGCAGCTGAACAATTATTATCATTCTTATTTAGGGAAATAAGCTCCAGCCAGTATAGCCTGCAGGACCATTACAGCACAGAAGCCCGGCCATCACAGCAAGCTGACAGCTTTAGGTTGGGTCCTGCTGTGACCGTGCTACGTCACAATTGACTGCACAGGCGTTAACTAAATCGTTTTACTTTTCCTCATCTAGTTTTCTCCGATGCCCAACATCAGTGAAGCTGGAGAAAGTGATTGATATGCTGAGTAAGTAGCTTTTTTCCCCGAAAGTAGGTTGCCCTTAGATGTTTGCTTGATTGATCACATCCTAGTAGCAACCATCAATTTTTAATTTACCTATCAAGATGACCACCTGCTGAAACCGATATTTTTCACCACGTGAGCTCTTGGAATTGTTTTGTGTTTATTCTTATTCTGAACTCTGGACAATTCTTAACTTTACAGTAGCCAAGAAAGTTTACTCGTCTTTCATAGGTACACATCTGCCTCCACAATTTCCTTATCCAACGTGTTGCCTTCTTGTAGGAATAATGCATTCTTCATTTCTCCCAGTCTTTTTGGTTGTTTTATATTGACCAGTTTCTGAATATCTTTGCGGTTATACCAAAGCATGTAAACGTTGATGTGTAATACGAGTACGCAAAACCATGTCTGTCCTCATGCATGAGATCCAACTGTGTTAATATTGCTTAGTTTCCACCGTGGAGGCTCAAACTTTGGGTTAGTTACAAGGTACTGCAAATGGTGGCTGCGTGAATTCGGTTTGCGTAAGTTTGCGTAAGTTTCAAATAGGTACTTGAAGATACGGACACATAGGTTGGAATTCTAATGTACCGTCTCTCTCCCCGCTCTGTTCATGACGCTGGCAGGTTCGCCAAAGCCAACCAAGACTTTGCATACCCACAAAACAGTACGTCCTCCGGGGCGGGGGTCTCAAGCTTGTAGTCCACACAATCTTGCCACCCAAATTACTCCCACTCCGACTCTGCACATGAACCATACGGAAATCATGTGTTCACCCTCGCGTTGGTCAGGTAGCCTTTGGAAATCAAACTGTAATAGATAATTTAACAGTGTTATTTTATCCTGTTTGACCTGCGCCTATTGCGTTTGCAACTGAGGACATCAAGCGAAATTAAAACCAACCTAGTATGCCTTCCACTCAGTCCTACGACAATTGATATAGTGGAAATATTGAAAAGAAATTTCTCAAAAGAAGACTCTAAACACCAGTCACGCGATCTCTCGATGCGTTAGCTGTATTCGGGCCAGTCAGTTGTATGTACAAGAGAACAGAACAACGGAACCTGACAGCTAGGTGTAGCGATTATTTGGAAAGATACCCAATATGTGCCTAAAGCTTTTCTTGACTTCAGTTGAACCCATATTTTCACCTATATAAATTCACATCCTAAGAGCGCTTCTTAAACACTAAGATTATTGATATGATGGTTGAAGATTTGTCCGCCAAAAGTATACCACTGCCCTTTTTTAAAGCTCCGTAACAAAATGACTACTACACTGCACAAATAATTTCCACGTAAACTAGTTAAGTCCATATATGACGATTTGATCGCTCCTCGTCACAAAATTCGCATACGTGAACCTTATTGGCCTTTAATTTATTTTTCAGGCACCAGATTCCAAAAGCTGTTCTTCATGATACAAAAGACGTCTTGTGCTCTAATTCGCAATTTGCGTACTCCTGTCTACTTCACTTAACCTCTATTTTTGTTCGTATCGTCTCATGTCAGGTAACCCATTCGTATTTCAAGCAGCAGTCTTCGTAATAAACGCTGGGTTGTGAACATGAAGGTACATTTTGTTCCCTAACCAGTGGGGATTTAGCATTGGAAGGTCTGGTGTGAAAACTAAGTGCAAATGTGTTGTCGATCATTTGAAAATGTACCTATTTACTTACGTCACAGTGAAGTGACTAGCGTTTCTGGCGTTAGGTTACTTACTTCAAATGCTTTCAGTTTTTACTGTCAAAATAAACTTCTGCACTTACTTATTTTCAAAGAGTAGTTGAGTGGCGTAACTGTTTTATGGAAGCACTCAGACATTTCAAGAAAGCGCCTTTTCCAGAAAAAAACTGGTCGGCAATCAGATGGCAATTTAACTAGAAGTTCGCAATTGGCCTTGTACGGCGTAATAAATTGGCCTTTTCTATCCATATAAGTCATCAGAACAGCGTATTAAGAGCCCAAGGACCGGTTTCCTTAATATATTACGACATGATAAGGATGTGAAGCTACCAGTCAAAATAATCCCTGTTACCAACAACAACAACAATAACAACAACAACAGCAACCGGTATTTCTCGGTTGCATTACGTCAGTTACCAATGAGTGAGGACTACGGAGACAGGTCTCCGTAGACATGTCTATCCACTAGTCGTGTCGTAGACATCTCATGACAATGCCTAAAAAACCACGCACTTGTATCAATATTTGTTTAATCGTATGGCATGTAGTTGTGCAACCGCCCAAGCACATAACACTATTGTAGCATGCCCAAATCCAGTTTTCTTTTTTGGGTTTCCTCTCGCAGAAAATGTTTAGAGTGGTCTAGGAAATCGTTGTCGTTCGTTCCCTGATGATTTGATGTGCGGCCTCTTCTGACGGATGTGTTGTAGTGGTTCAGATTACTGGTTCCCTCATACGCGAGTTCTCAATTATAAAAGCTGGTGAGCTTCGGCCACCCTTCTGGTTTGTGTTTCTGATCTATCAAAAAACGAATGAAACCGAAGTAACTGAGCTAAAGAGTAGGAGCGTTTGCTGGACAGGCGTCGAAACTTGACCAAGCACACGCAGACGTCAATCGACACGTGTATGTAAGCGGCATGAGAGGTATTGTCAGACAAACCTGGCCAGAGCGAGCAATCAGAGGTTACCGAACTTGCGGACTGATTATGTGAACGCAGCATGATCCATGTGTTTTGTCCACTGTTCTAATCCATTCTCTGTTAAGTGTTGTTCCTTCACTGGTTAAGGTTACTTCGTTTGTCCGGTCACTTCTAACTTGCATCCACTCAATTTTGGCTTTATGGCTCCAATGCGGTTACAATACTAGCATCAGGAAAAGTTGCAGCCTGTGAAGCGGAATAAACCAAGAATGAGCCAATATGCGGAAATTTACTCATGCTATGGCATGTTTGTTACTTGAACTCATAATAACACGGCAACTGTAGGGAATCTTAGGAGTTATAAAATAGTCGTTTCATTTTGATGACGGCAATAGAATTCATATTCACGTTTCATTTTGATGACGGCAATAGAATTCATATTCAAGAGCGACAATACCCATTGACCACACGTGTCTACCTGCGTTTAAGACAACGAAGGTAACTGTAAGGCATGAGGGGGAGGTCCATGGTGAAACGAACGAGGGTATCAAATCGGTCCTTGAGTCGAACCTACCGACGATCATACGTGAGGTGTCGAATAAGAAAAGAGGTCATTTCGGGTTACAGTGCTACCAGACCGACATAACGCAGTTACTGACGTACATAAAAGTGTCGATTGCTGCTTGAGTACGGACCAAAAAGTGAGTCGCCGAGTGTTGTGGAATACGGTAAATCGGTCGGTAGGTTCTTCGTTCAACTATGTCACTTTACCTTATCCAGGGTGGTTATTTTTTGACAACCGCAATATATGACCAGGTGATCGAAAGCAAAATTAACGCTCCATCACTCACGACTTTTTCAACAAGTGAATTGAGCAAAAACTAACCAAAATCCTGGTCGGGAGTCAAAGTAGACGAGTGGTCCGTAGCTTTCTAAATTTGCCATTCTTGTCGTCAGAAAGATTGGAAGAAATGTTACCGTTACGCTTGACATAGGACTCACTTATGCCTAGAACAATCATCTTCCCGTGAAAAGGCAATTGATGACGTTACGGAGAAAAAACGAAAGCTAGTTGTGGATAAGGCAACGGGTGAAACCAAAGTACAACAGTTGATATGCGACAGCATGTCCATGCATCAAGGACTACCCAGACCAACAAACCGAAGATTACTGTACAGCCATTGGCAGGCTTGTTTTCACCAGAAAAAGCCTGACGCAATGATAGCTAGTTGGCCATTAATCCTGTTCTTCGGTATCTTCGATGTACCGTCATCCCCGAACACAACCTAGGGCCTAATACAGCCTAATATGCAGCCCGTTTCGTGTGCTGGTATCCTAAATGGCCAATTCTAAAGATGCACGTGATGAACCTTGAGCTAAAAACCTCCGGTTTTGTAACTCTGTGGACGATTCACGCTGCCAGCGTAATGGGAACATAAAGCATAGTGTGTACAGCAGGACCGCTGGTTTCTCTTCCTGTGTTTTTGAGTTTTATAACATCAAGCAAGGTTACCGTGATCAATCGATCATTTCTGTTGTTAAACATTCGGAAGTACAGATTTCGTAGCTCCACTAGATGGGTTCGCTTTTCGCCTGGACATACTTAACAAGAGCGTTGTTTGTATGCGTCGGGAATACTACACAGAAAAGATGCACAACAGTTTCCATGAAGGTCTTACACCATCGATTGGTTCAATGCAACGAAAGCTCAATTTTCTGAGTTTTCCCTCTAACTGACTGAAGTTACCAAACTCATTGGTCGCCCTCAATGACATAGACGACCTAGGTCTCAATTCCACAGTCATGCTCCCAAGCACAGTGACCAACCTGCCTGGTGCTACTACCACCGTCGCTTCGGCGACCGCGCTATCCGATGCACCAGACCTTGCACTTTCTCCACAAAGCCTTCGAATTCGGGAAGCGCCATGGCCGGCCAGTAATGGCGACTCCTGCAACCGGCTCCTCTGCCTGTCGCCTGTTCCTCGTATATGACCGCTCCACGTCCTTGAATTTTCTTATCGATACCGGTGCTGAGGTTAGTGTAATTCCTCCTACACGCAAGCATAATGTACAGCCGGTGGCATA